GTCCGGTCCAGGTTCTCCAGGCCTTGAATCCGGTCCGGTCCAGGTTCTCCAGGCCTTCTGTCCATCCAGACTCTCCAGGCCTTGAGTCTGCTCAAGGTCCTCCAGGTCTGTACCGGGCCGGGTTCGAACCGTTTCAGAGCAGAGTCTGAGGCCTGTCCTCACGAGCAGGGCGCATGCGCACACGGCCGTGCTCCGTGTTGTTTGGCGCGCTGCCTGCGTGCCGCCGCAGTGTGTGCGTGCTGGCGCAAAGCGCGGCCTCCGCTCTGCTCGTTCTCAGCGACAACAACAACAACAACCGGACAAAGTGCTCCCGGTGCCGCTGCCAGACACACCCAGAGGAGGCGGCTGTCCCGGGCTCCGTGTGACGGTAAGAGCCGCTCCCGGTGCTCGAGCTCCTCGCGGCCGCCGCTCCAGCCGCCGTTTCCGCGAGGATGTCTGCGCGCTCTCGAGCCGTTCATGGCCGCTCGAGCTCCGTGTCGCCGCCGCTGCTCGCGTGCCTGCGACTCGGTCCCGGGGACGGCGGAGCGCCGGGTCCGCGAGCCGGCACGCGTCTCGGTGACCGAGCAGCCGCTGAGTCTGTCGGTACCGGACACAGAAACCGGATAAACGCCATTTTGTGTGAAAGCGGAGCAGCAGGCCGCCATTTAACAGCAGCACCGAGTCTCACCGGGACTGTCCGCGGCCACCGTCACCCGGTCAGCCGGTCGGCCGGGCGGCCACCGGCACCGAGCCGCCGCTGCGACCGGTACCGAGTCCGCAGCAGGCGGTTTATCCGCCGGTAACGGCTCCGGTATTCAATGTTTAATTAGCATGTTAGCTCCCTCAGGCTAACGGCTGCAGACAGACAGCCCCGGTTCACCGACAGACAGCCCCGGTTCACCGACAGACAGCCCCGGTTCACCGACTGTCCTCTCCCGGTCCACAGCTGGAACGGTTCGGTTCGGTCAAAGTTAGCCGTGCCGCTGCTAGCCCGCTAGCCTAGCCCGTGTCATCCCGGTTTAAATGAGCTGCAGCCCGAACCGGGACTCGGTGTCCGCTAACGGCCCGGGTCCCGGGTTGGACGGGACTGTGGAGGATTACGGCTGAAGCCCGGTTGGTGTCGGTCGGTACCGGTCCGCCGCTCTGCTGCCGGTCTCTCCGTTCAGTCCTCAGAAGGCGTGCACACGCTCCCGTGCGCGTGTCCGCGGTAGAAGAGGTACATGAACTCCTGAAGGCTGAGGACGGTTCTGTTGTCCAGAACACCTGCGACGGACCGAACCGTTCAGAACTCCACTGAGAATGCGTCTGATTTAAAGGCTCAGTGTCCGTGTCGGCGGGCCGCTGCTGCTCAGAAACACACGGAGGAACACGTTCAGAAGCTGCCCGAGAATCTGACACATTTTAGTTCTTTTTATAACAACGTGAGGAAAAAATGGAAAAACGTGAGTTTTAGGTTCGTGTCAGTTCGGTGAATCAGAAGGATCCCGAACCAGCTGAATTAAATCAGACAGATTCTGGACGGGTTTTTGTCTCGGACCTCCACTGGAGCAGACGGATAGGAACTTAGTGAGGAACTTAATCCATCCAGGTGTCTCAGTCTGAAGGCAATACTGGAAAACTGTTTGACCAGAGTGAGTCCTGTCTACAGATGGTTCTGGTTCTGGAGGTAAAACGGTCCTTCCATCGTCTAGAACTGGTTCTGACCAACCGCCATCACACGTGCTGACATGAGCCTGGAACCTTCACCCAGAATGCACTTTGTAAAGTTTCCTCTGGTGACCGATCAGAACCAGAACCACATCCACGGTACCAGTGATTGTTTCTATGACTCTGTGTCATAGACATTAAACTGGTACCACTATGAGACATCCCATAATACTGATGCCACCAGCTGCTGACAGAGGACATGAACAGAACCAGGTCCAGTGTTCAGACGGAGACACCTGGATGGATGTAGAACTGATCTGGTGTCGGGTTCTACCAGAACCCAGATGTGTTCTTCCTCCTAAGTCCATTAAGGTGATAAGCCTGGACCCTCCTCTCAGTTATTGTCGCGTCATCCGAAGCTGAATGAACATCTGTGGATAAGATCAGTGACGAGTAGCAGGACTCCGCCTCCAGCTCGGACTGACCTCAGCGCTCTGGGATGATGCTGAACACCTGATGTCTTACCTGAGTTTTCAGATGGCGGAGACTGTGAAGTACGTGGACGACGAGCACAAGAGCATCTTCCTGAAGCTGCTGAATGAGCAGCGGCTGGAGGGCGAGCACTGCGACATCGCCGTGGTGGTCGAGGACGTCAAGTTCCGCGCTCACCGCTGCGTGCTCGCCGCCTGCTCCAACTACTTCAAAAAACTCTTCAAGAAACACGAGGTGCCGTGCCAACACACACCTGCCTGTACCTGTTTGTTCAGGTGTACCTCCTCTCACCTGTACCTGTGCGTCTCCCCAGGTGGACAACTCGTCGGTGATTGAGATCGACTTCATCCGCTCCGACATCTTTGAGGAGGTGTTGAACTACATGTACACAGCCAAGATCTCCGTAAAGAAGAGAGACGTCAACCTGATGATGTCCTCGGGACAAATCCTCGGCATCCGCTTCCTCGACAAACTCTGCTCCCAGGTAACGCACAGGTAGCGCACACACAAAGGTAACACACAGGTAGCAGACAGGTAAAGGTAACACACACACTGTTAACCTTTCCAGCTCCTCCCCTGTGTGATGATGTGTTGTTGTTTCCATAGAAACGAGACGTGTCCTCGGAGGACAAAGAGAAGTTTCCGTACGACATCGTGAAGATGGCGCTGCCGCCGGAGGCCCAGCTGGCTGCTGACTCTGAGGTATTGATCAGCCATCAATAACCAATCACAGTTTACCGCTGCTTCCTCTCATCCTGCTCTGACTGCTGTGTGTGCAGGTGCTTGGCGAGCACGATGACACGCCCACCACGGATGACCTCGTGGATGCATCGACCAATCAGGAGCTGGACAAGTCTCCGAGTGCTGCGCTGCGTGTACAGGAGGCCATCTTGAAAGAACTGACCAATGAGGACGTGCACAAGGTACGCACACACTCGCACCTTAAACCGGAGCTCACAGACACGAGGACATGCACAAACACCACCTGTGTGACACCTCCAGGTGACCTGCTACGACCAGGACGTGGTGACGGAGATGGAGGCAGAGCCGAAGGAGCTGGGGGCGGAGCATCACGCCACCCAGACGCTGACGTTTGCAGACAGTATGGGGGAGGTGAAGGACGAGCAGCCGCCGGGGTGGTCCACTGCCACCACCGACATGAAGTTTGAATACCTGCTGTACGGACACAGAGAGCAGCTCGCCTGCCAGGTGTGTGGGAAGACCTTCCTGGACGAAAGCAGACTCAGGTACGTGCACACCTGGATGGACTAAAGGGGAAATGCAACCGCTCAGCACACCTGAGCAACACACCTGATTTGTGTCTTTAGGAAACACGAGAAGCTTCATTCAGCAGAGCGTCCCTTCGCCTGTGAGATCTGCACCAAAGCTTTCACCACCCACGCTCACCTGAAAGGTAGGAGCACACCTCAGCACGCCTGTCCCCAGGTACGTTCACCTGATCACACAGGTGTTTGGTGGCAGCTGGTTTTGTGATGACAGCGTGATGCCATTTGTGATGTTTTTGATGCTACCTGTGGTGACGTGTTTGGCTCTGCCTCCACCTTTGTTTTCCAGAACACCTGAAGATCCACACAGGCTTCAAACCGTACAGGTGTGACGTTTGTGGGAAATCGTTCATTCGAGCTCCAGACCTGAAAAAACACGAACGGGTTCATAGTAACGAACGACCGTTTGCCTGTCAGATGTGTGACAAGGTGAGCTCACCTGTCTGTCTGCTGTGTCACGTCTACCTGTGTGCCTCTCACCTGTCTGCCTGTCTCTCACCTGTCTGCCTGTCTGCAGGCGTTTAAACACAAGTCTCACCTGAAGGATCATGAGAGGAGACACAGAGGAGAGAAACCTTTCGTCTGTCCGTCCTGCACCAAGGCCTTCGCTAAGGTACTACTGATAATACTGCTAATACTGCGTATAGTACTACTGGTACTGCTGATGCTCCTGTTCCTACATCATCACACGGTCGGTTCTCCATCGGTGATGTCATATCCTGGTGTCTGTCACCTCCATCTCCATCGTCGCGATGCTGGTTCTCCCAGGTGTTCACAGCTGTGTGGGAACATTCAGTGTCTGTGCTGAGTTCACTGTCACTCTGTGTTTTCAGGCGTCTGACCTGAAGCGTCACGAGAACAACATGCACAGCGAGAGGAAACAGCTGAACCCACTGCAGAGTGACACGGAAACGCTGCAGGCCGCCGCCATGGCTGCTGAGGAGCAACATCTGGACACCATCAGCTGCTCCTAACATCTGGACACCAT